AAAAGATAAGTGGCTTGCTTCCTTATTTGTAGGTTCGAGACAATGTTTGTAGGCTTTTAAGATCGTGGAAAGGGTTGGACCAACATATAAGGCTCAAGAAAAGAACCATGTCTTTCAAAATGGTTTTTCACAATTATATAAAGATATAACGCACCACCTCGACGATCCAGTATACATCGAAACCACGTAACCAATGCTCTTTCGTCTACTTATGGCCATATAATTAAGTTTCTAGCACGGTTTCTAATTAAGCATCACAGACAGGTAGTACCTGTTATGTTTATGTATAAGAATAACAATTACTTCTGTGCAAAAACTCCTCTTTTTTTCACCCAACATGTGTGGCAAACATAATAAGTTGAAGTTGTACTACAAACAGACAAATGTAGAAAAGGAGACACAATGCAAATGATGGTGGGGATAGATAATAGATGATAATAGATAGCAAAGGTGATAAGAGATGGGGAGCAAACAAAAATTACTTAGCATGCACCTGTCAACAAACACCCCTGTACCTCAGCAATTTACTTCTCCGTTACATTGTTACATCTTGCCGTGAGAATAAAAAGTAGCATCATGGACTTCTTCATTATATACATATCGGACAGAATTTTGAAGCTTTGATAGTTTTTTTTTCTTTGTTTTTGTTTTTCATCATCATCATCATCATTATGGGTATCATTATCATTATCAATGATTATCGTCATTATTATTATCATTTCATCATTGTTAGTATTATTACCATCATTATTATCATCACTATCATCACCATCATAATCATCACTATCATAATCATCACCACCATCACCACCATCACCACTACCATCATCATCATCATCATCATCATCATCATCATCATCATCATCATCATCATCATCATCATCATCATCATCCTCATCATCATCATCATCATCATCATCATCATCATCATCATCATCATCATCATCATCATCATCATCATCATCATCATCATCATCATCATCATCATCATCATCATCATCATCATCATCATCATCATCATCATCATCATCATCATCATCATCATCATCATCATCATCATCATCATCATCATCATCATCATCATCATCATCATCATCATCATCATCATCATCATCATCATCATCATCATCATCATCATCATCATCATCATCATCATCATCATCATCATCATCATCATCATCATCATCATCATCATCATCATCATCATCATCATCATCATCATCATCATCATCATCATCATCATCATCATCATCATCATCATCATCATCATCATCATCATCATCATCATCATCATCATCATCATCATCATCATCATCATCATCATCATCATCATCATCATCATCATCATCATCATCATCATCATCATCATCATCATCATCATCATCATCATCATCATCATCATCATCATCATCATCATCATCATCATCATCATCATCATCATCATCATCATCATCATCATCATCATCATCATCATCATCATCATCATCATCATCATCATCATCATCATCATCATCATCATCATCATCATCATCATCATCATCATCATCATCATCATCATCATCATCATCATCATCATCATCATCATCATCATCATCATCATCATCATCATCATCATCATCATCATCATCATCATCATCATCATCATCATCATCATCATCATCATCATCATCATCATCATCATCATCATCATCATCATCATCATCATCATCATCATCATCATCATCATCATCATCATCATCATCATCATCATCATCATCATCATCATCATCATCATCATCATCATCATCATCATCATCATCATCATCATCATCATCATCATCATCATCATCATCATCATCATCATCATCATCATCATCATCATCATCATCATCATCATCATCATCATCATCATCATCATCATCATCATCATCATCATCATCATCATCATCATCATCATCATCATCATCATCATCATCATCATCATCATCATCATCATCATCATCATCATCATCATCATCATCATCATCATCATCATCATCATCATCATCATCATCATCATCATCATCATCATCATCATCATCATCATCATCATCATCATCATCATCATCATCATCATCATCATCATCATCATCATCATCATCATCATCATCATCATCATCATCATCATCATCATCATCATCATCATCATCATCATCATCATCATCATCATCATCATCATCATCATCATCATCATCATCATCATCATCATCATCATCATCATCATCATCATCATCATCATCATCATCATCATCATCATCATCATCATCATCATCATCATCATCATCATCATCATCATCATCATCATCATCATCATCATCATCATCATCATCATCATCATCATCATCATCATCATCATCATCATCATCATCATCATCATCATCATCATCATCATCATCATCATCATCATCATCATCATCATCATCATCATCATCATCATCATCATCATCATCATCATCATCATCATCATCATCATCATCATCATCATCATCATCATCATCATCATCATCATCATCATCATCATCATCATCATCATCATCATCATCATCATCATCATCATCATCATCATCATCATCATCATCATCATCATCATCATCATCATCATCATCATCATCATCATCATCATCATCATCATCATCATCATCATCATCATCATCATCATCATCATCATCATCATCATCATCATCATCATCATCATCATCATCATCATCATCATCATCATCATCATCATCATCATCATCATCATCATCATCATCATCATCATCATCATCATCATCATCATCATCATCATCATCATCATCATCATCATCATCATCATCATCATCATCATCATCATCATCATCATCATCATCATCATCATCATCATCATCATCATCATCATCATCATCATCATCATCATCATCATCATCATCATCATCATCATCATCATCATCATCATCATCATCATCATCATCATCATCATCATCATCATCATCATCATCATCATCATCATCATCATCATCATCATCATCATCATCATCATCATCATCATCATCATCATCATCATCATCATCATCATCATCATCATCATCATCATCATCATCATCATCATCATCATCATCATCATCATCATCATCATCATCATCATCATCATCATCATCATCATCATCATCATCATCATCATCATCATCATCATCATCATCATCATCATCATCATCATCATCATCATCATCATCATCATCATCATCATCATCATCATCATCATCATCATCATCATCATCATCATCATCATCATCATCATCATCATCATCATCATCATCATCATCATCATCATCATCATCATCATCATCATCATCATCATCATCATCATCATCATCATCATCATCATCATCATCATCATCATCATCATCATCATCATCATCATCATCATCATCATCATCATCATCATCATCATCATCATCATCATCATCATCATCATCATCATCATCATCATCATCATCATCATCATCATCATCATCATCATTATGACTCCCAAGTCCCACTGGGAGTGACCGAAATTGTTTTGAGAAAAAAAAAAAAAAAAATCAGGGAGGGAGTTTGGAAGGATTTTGGGCCTTAAGGAGTGAACGGTCGAGAAACCTTCTGCGCAATCCTGTTAAAGTAGAGCTTGTGGACCTCTGCGGCAACTGCTTGATGTAGCCCATATTTGGGACTAGAAAAAATGTGAAGTGAATTTGTGAAGAGAAAAAAGGATAAGTGGCTTGCTTCCTTATTTGTAGGTTCGAGACAATGTTTGTAGGCTTTTAAGATCGTGGAAAGGGTTGGACCAACATACAAGGCTCAAGAAAAGAACCATGTCGTTCAAAATGGTTTTTCACAATTATATAAAGATATAACGCACCACCTCAATGTTCTAATATACGTTTAAACCACGTAACCAATGCTCTTTCGTCTACTTATGGCCATATAATTAAGTTTCTAGTGCGGTTTCTAATTAAGCATTACAGACAGGTAGCACCTGTTATGTTTATGTATAAGAATAACAATTACTACTGTGCAAAAACTCCTCTTTTTTTTCACCCAACATGTGTGGCAAACATAATAAGTTGAAGTTGTACTACAAACAGACAAATGTAGAAAAGGAGACATAATGCAAATGATGGTGGGGATAGATAATAGATGATAATAGATAGCAAAGATGATAAGAGATGGGGAGCAAATGAAAATTACTTAGCATGCACCTGTCAACAAACACCCCTGTACCTCCGCAATTTACTTCTCCGTTACATTGTTACATCTTGCCGTGAGAATAAAAAGTAGCATCATGGACTTCTTCATTATATACATATCAGACAGAATTTTGAAGCTTTGATAGATCATCATCATTATTATAATTATTATTGTTGTTTTAAATCACACACACACACACAAACACACATACATTGATTGATAGTTTATTAAATGAGTTTCTGATAGCAGGCAGGCAGACAGATAAAGACAGACAGAGAGACAGACAGTCAGTCAGTCAGTCAGTCAGTCAGTCAGTCAGTCAGTCAGTCAGTCAGTCAGTCAGTCAGTCAGTCAGTCAGTCAGTCAGATGAATAATTACATACAGCCGTTATAGTTATAAAGATAGGTAGATGAACATAGGCATTTAGTTGAAAAATTTCTTTTTTCCTTTATCACTGTTTGTCTTTTTATGCTCAGGAAAAAATACTAGTATTTGAAGGTTGAAAAAGGGTGGTATTTCCTCTCTCTCTCTCTCTCTCTCTCTCTCTCTCTCTCTCTCTCTCTCTCTCTCTCTCTCTCTCTCTCTCTCTCTCTCTCTCTCTCTCTCCCTCTCCCTCTTAACCAAAAGTCGGAAAAGGCAATTGTACGTCAACAAAAGAGATCTTGCATAGCCGCTGCAATTAGCAACACGGCAATGAATGTCTTTGTCAATCGTCAGGTGAATGGTTAGCTATAACTCTAGGGTGCATTGTGCGCATGAGAGGGGCTGTGGCAGG